TGTAGTGAAATGCTTGTGCTTCTAGCTGCGGCAGTGCAGTAATATCTAACAAGTAATATCTAACAATTTCACAACATATACCCAATACACACAAATCTAGTAAGGAATGGAATTTAAGAATATATACATATATGGACAAGCAATGACAGAGCGGCATGGACTAAGATACAGTAGAATATTATAGAATAGAATACAGTATATACATATGAGATGAGTAGTGCAAGATATGTAAACATTATTAAAGTGACTAGTGTTCCATTTCTTAAAGTGGCCTGTGATTTCAATAGGCAGCAGCAGCCTCTAATGTGCTAGTGATGGCTATTTAACAATCTGATGGCCTTGAGATAGAAGCTGTTTTTCATTCTCTCGCTCCCAGCTTTGATGCACCTGTACTGACCTCGCCTTCTGGATGATAACGGGGTGAACAGGCATTGGCTCGGGTGGTTGATGTCCTTGATGATCTTTTTGGCCTTCCTGTGACATCAGGTGCTGTAGCCTGCAATAATGTGTCATAGCCTGTTGTAAGCTATCATATCCTGTAATAACGTAAAAATGTATGCACACATGACTGTAAGTCGCTTTGGATAAAAGTGTCTGCTAAATGGCATATTATATTATTATTATAGCCTGTTGTAAGCTATCATAGCCTGTAATAGTTTATCATAGCCTGTCGTAAGCTATCATAGCCTGTAATATTGTGTCATAGAGTGTCGTAAGCTATCATAGCCTGCAATAACGTGTCATAGCCTGTTGTAAGCTATCATAGCCTGTAATAGTTTATCATAGCCTGTCGTAAGCTATCATAGCCTGTAATATTGTGTCATAGAGTGTCGTAAGCTATCATAGCCTATAATAACGTGTTATAGCCTATTGTAAGCTATCATAGCCTATAATAACGTGTCATAGCCTGTCGTAAGCTATCATAGCCTGTAATATTGTGTCATAGCCTGTCGTAAGCTATCATAGCCTATAATAACGTGTCATAGCCTGTCGTAAGCTATCATAGCCTATAATAACGTGTCATAGCCTGTTGTAAGCTATCATAGCCTGTAATATTGTGTCATAGAGAGTCGTAAGCTATCATAGCCTATAATAATGTGTCATAGCCTGTTGTAAGCTATCATAGCCTATAATAACGTGTCATAGCCTGTCGTAAGCTATCATAGCCTATAATAACGTGTCATAGCCTGTCGTAAGCTATCATAGCCTATAATAACGTGTCATAGCCTGTCGTAAGCTATCATAGCCTATAATAACGTGTCATAGCCTGTCGTAAGCTATCATAGCCTATAAGGTATAGCTGTCGTAAGCTATCATAGGCTATATAACTGTCATGCTGTCGTAAGCTATCATAGCTATAATAACGTGTCATAGCCTGTCGTAAGCTATCATAGCTATAATAACGTGTCATAGCCTGTCGTAAGCTATCATAGCCTATAATAACGTGTCATAGCCTGTCGTAAGCTATCATAGCCTATAATAACGTGTCATAGCCTGTCGTAAGCTATCATAGCCTATAATAACGTGTCATAGCCTGTCGTAAGCTATCAAGCTAATAGCCTATAATAAGTGTCATAGCCTGTCGTATGGTGAACAAGCATCCTTACGACGCATGGACAGTCCCTACGATCGTAGCTGGAGTCATGCCTTAATTCCGGTGACATTGTGCTTAAACCCACTCTTGGAATACTGTGGTAAGCTGTCAAAGCTCACTATATGCCCTATAACTCATACCCCCCCCCTCCTAGTTCAAGCCTGACCTATCAAATAGTGTCAGCCTAGGTGAACAACCATTTCAGCGCTCAGGCACAGACTCTCAAGAACAGCGACCCTACACAGCACTCTAACTAATGCCCCACCTCATAATTGATAAATGATACCATGGGAAGATAGATGAAGCACATCCTTTAAGTCGTGTCATAGCCTGTCGAGCTTCTAGCCAATGTAATGTAATCCCCTGAAGCATAGGATTACCACAATGTGTGAGTGCTCTGCTAACGTCATGCTAAATACTAAGTGTCATGCCTTGTGTAAGCTATCTAGCCTCATATAAGTGTCTAGCCTGTCGTAAGCTATGCTAATGCCTATAATGTAAATGTATAGCCTGTGTAAGCTATCATAGCCTATAATAACGTGTCATAGCCTGTCGTAAGCTATCATAGCCTATAATAACGTGTCATAGCCTGTCGTAAGCTATCATAGCCTATAATAATGTGTCATAGCCTGTCGTAAGCTATCAATAGCCTACACAAACGTGTCATAGCCTGTCGGAAGCTATCATAGCTATATAATGTGTCATAGCCGTGTAAGCTATCATAGCCTTTAAATAGTGTCATGCCTGTCGTAAGCTATGATGCCTATAATAAGTGTCATGCCTGTGTGTTCTGATAATGTTCATAGCCTGTCGTAAGCTATCAAACTAAGACAGAGCCACCAGAACGATGAGGTCTATAAGACAGCAGAGGAGCGTTACGGGAACGTTAGTCATGGACAACATCCCAGTGCACTCTATTGATTGCTTCGTGAAATAGTGTGTTTGGGTGTGTGTGTGTGTGTGTGTGTGTGTGTGTGTGTGTGTGTGTGTGTGTGTGTGTGTGTGCGTGTGTGCGTGTGTGCGTGCGTGCGTGCGTGCGTGTGTGCAAATTATAGTATTACTCCTGCAAATGGAGCTTACAAGTAATTCTATGTAATTGTGCTGTTCATTTGTATCTGGTGATAACCACGCCAGTGAGTTATGCATCTGGTTGGTTTTATTGATCTCTCCTGAATGAAACACTATTAAGAAAGGAGTTAAAAGAGCGTCAAGCACTAAAGCAGGATAGATTATTAGAATACATTATATTATGTCTAATCAGAACACAGTACCCTCACACACACACACACACACACACACACAAATACACAGAGTACTTAGCTATAAGGACAACAGCCTCACATCTAATAGACAAAATACTTTTCTCCCTGGGCAGAGGACACAGTAATTCTAGACCACCTACCGTGTGTGTGTGTGTGTGTGTGTGTGTGTGTGTGTGTGTGTGTGTGTGTGTGTGTGTGTGACAGCATGTCATTAATCTCTCACCAAGAGGATAGGAAGGAAATCTACTGCCTATCACAGATGATACATGGATAGGAAGGGAATCTACTGCCTATCACTGATGATTCATGGATAGGAAGGAAATCTACTGCCTATCACCGATGATACATGGATAGCAAGATAATCGTGTGTATATGAGTGTGAGTGTGTGCGAGACTGTGTGCGTTTGTGTATGTGCGTGCATGCGTGTGAGGGTGAGGTTGAACAGAAGTGCAATGTAGAAACAGTCTATATAGGGTGACAATCTATGCCAATTCACTGCGCCTCTCCACCCGAATCAACTTGTCTGCAGGGACTCTCTCTCTCTCTCTCTCTCTCTCTCTCTCTCTCTCTCTCTCTCTCATAACAACCACCAAAGGGATAGACAGTGAGATCCAGCTACTTCAAATATGTCCGCCTAGAGGCTACAAAAGCAATGTGGTTCTAATATGCAATGTGTGTTCTCTGTCTACATCTTTAGTTGTCTGTCTTGAGTTTGAGTTTATTACAATTTTTACAGGGACAGTGCACATTAATCTACATTTCAGTTAAAGTGCCGGTTTTAGCCAGCCGGCTAATTTTCAACCGCAGTCCATGGGCAGGTTATTAAAAACAATTACAATAACAATACAGACAAACAATCAGCAGTGAGCACATGCAGAGCACCCTAGGACAAGCAACACGTAGCACACAGACAGAGAAACTTACGACAAGCAACACGTAGCATGCAGACAGAGAAACATAGGACAAGCAACACGTAGCATGCAGACATAGCAACATAGGACAAGCAACACGTAGCGTGCAGACAGAAACATAGGACAAGCAACACGTAGCGTGCAGACAGAGAAACATAGGACAAGCAACACGTAGCACGCAGACAGCGCAACATAGGACAAGCAACACGTAGCACGCAGACAGAGCAATAGCACAAAAAGAAACAAAACAAAATACATAAATGCAACAAAATGTTTACACACCCCACAAGCTACAGACAACAGATAGCATGGAAAGCAGCAATAAAAACAGCTAGGGATTATGTTCACAAGTCTGATTGGCCTTTATCCATGTCTTGTCTGTAGTTACCAATATAAACAAACAGGGAAATGCAGATAAGACTCAACAGTGTGTGTGATCAAAGGTACAAGGTCTTTGTAGACAACTGCACAGCCAGGCCAATAATTGACATAACATACACTCTCACATATCGTGTTGCTCTAATGCAATAAAGGTTCAAGTGGAATGGAGTAAATATAGCCACAGGTTTACAGAAGGGTATTACATGGAAGCTGAGAGGGATTTGTTGGATTTGAAAGCAACACTTGCTGTTGTTTCCTGCTCTCTGTTTGAATAGAAAGGCCCGCCCTCTCCCTCCCTCTGGGGAGCCTGGGTAATCTCCTTCACCTTTAAAGAAGAATCAAAGCTTCCCTCTTTTTTTACTCTCTCTCTCGCTCTCTCGTTCTCTCTCTCTTTCTCTCTCGCTCTCTCTCGCTCCCTCTCCCTCCCTCATGTTATGTTACCTTTTGTTCTGGTGGTGGTTGAATTGATGTTGAATTGGTTTGAATGTTAATTGCTTTAACTGTGTTGTTGCTCTCACTGTGGTGCCAATGAAGCAAAGCATATTTGAACTCTCTGGAATTCAATTTAGAGAGCCTCAATATACTGTGTCTCGGTGCACTCTTTGAAAAAAAGGTGCTATCTAGAACCTTAAAGGGTTATTTGGCTCTCCCCATAGGATAACCAATTGAATAACTATTTTTGGTTCCAGGTAGAACCCTTTTGGTTCCAGATAGAACTTTTGGTTGCAGATAGAATTTTTCTACCTTTTATCTATGATTTTCCCTCTCTTTTCTCTTTTCCCTCACCCCCTCTTTCTTTTCCTCCTTCTCCCTCTCCTCTCCTCTCCTCTCTCCCTCCCCCCTGTCTCAGGTCTCTGTCGGGGCGTATAGTGGGGGGCGTGTGGTGGTTCTTCACTCTCATCATCATCTCGTCCTACACGGCCAACCTGGCAGCTTTCCTCACAGTGGAGAGGATGGTGTCGCCCATAGAGAGTGCTGAGGACCTGGCCAAGCAGACGGAGATCGCCTATGGAACACTGGACTCAGGCTCCACCAAGGAGTTCTTCAGGGTGAGTACACACACACACACACACACACACACACACACACAAACACACAAACAAGGACACAGACGTGTGTGTGTGTGTGTGTGTGTGTGTGTGTGTATGTGTGTGTGTGCGTGTGTGTGTATGTGAATAGTTAGGGCCTGGCAGTAGCAGACAGAGTGTGCATCTGTGAGCAGCGTTAACATCATCAACATAACGAGCAAGCTGGAATCTGTGGAGGGTGAAGAAGCTATTTACTCTGAGAGGGATTTACCACCATTCATTGTGTGTGTGTGTGTGTGTGTGTGTGTGTGTGTGTGTGTGTGTGTGTGTGTGTGTGTGTGTGTGTGTGTGTGTGTGTGTGTGTGTGTGTGTGTGTGTGTGTGTGTGTGGGTGCGTGTGCATGTGCGCGCGCATGTCTGTGTGTGTGTGTGAGTGCGTGCATTCATATGTATTTTTCACCACTGATTTCATAAAGCCTGAAGGTAAGCTTATGATGGTCACTACATTGAAATTACGGCATTGTTTGGCCTGGCAGACAGAAAAAGAAGGAGAAAGAGAGAGAGAGAGAGAGACAGACAGAGAGAGTGAGAGAGACAGAGAGAGAGAGCGAGAGAGAGAGAGAGAGTGGGGGGGCGAGAGAGGCTCGCTGGTTCGACGAAAGTCACTGACATTATTATGGGATAGATGTCTGTCACACCCAAGCAAATCCCGGCGAGGCACACACACACATACACCGACCTCTCTACTCCAGGCTGTAGCTCATTGGCTAAGGCTGAGGCTTATCGTGTCCTAAAGGAGAGAGATAATAACACTTTATAATGGAGAGAGAGAGAATAACACTTCATAACGGAGAGAGAGAATAACACTTCATAATGGAGAGAGAATAACACTTCATAACGGAGAGAGATGGAATAACATTTAATAATGGAGAGAGAGAATAACACTTCATAACGGAGCGAGAGAATAACACTTCATAACGGACAGAGAGAATAACACTTCATAACGGAGAGAGAGAATAACACTTCATAACGGAGAGAGAGCAGAATAACACTTCATAACGGAGAGAGAGAATAACACTTCATAACGGAGAGAGAGAGAATAACACTTCATAACGGAGAGAGAGAATAACACTTCATAATAGAGAGAGGGAATAACACTTCATAATGGAGAGAGAGAATAACACTTCATAATGGAGAAAGAGAATAGCACTTCATAACTGAGAGAGGGAATAACACTTCATAACTTAGAGAGGGAATAACACTTTACAACGGAGAGAGAATAACACATCATAACGGAGAGAGGTAATAACACTTCGTAACAGAGAGAGAGAGAATAACACATCATAACGGAGAGAGGTAATAACACTTCAACAGGAGAGAGAAATAACACTTCATAACGGAGAGAGAAAATAACACTTCATAGCGGAGAGAGAGGAAATAACACTTCATAATGGAGAGAGATAATAACACTTCATTACGGAGAGAGAGAATTTCACTTCATAACGGAGAGAGAAAATAACACTTCATAACGGAGAGAGAGAAAAACACTTCATACAGAGAGAGAGAAATAACACTTCATACGGAGAGAGAGAATACACTCATAACGGAAGAGAGAAATAACACTTCATAACGGAGGAGAAAAACACTTCACAACGGAGAGAGAGAATTACACTTCATAATGGAGAGAGAAAATAACACTTCATAACGGACAGAGAGAAAAACACTTCATAACGGAGAGAGTGAATAACACTTCATAATGGAGAGAGGGAATAACACTTCATAAGGAGAGAGAAGAATAACACTTCATAACGGAGAGAGGGAAAACACTCATAAGGAGAGAGGAATACACTTCATAAAGAGAGAGAGAATAACACTTCATAACGGAGAGAGGGGAAAACACTACATAACGCAGAGAGGGAATAACACTTCATAACGGAGAGAGGGAATAACACTTCATAACGGAGAGCGAGAGAATATCACTTCATAACGTTGAGAGGGAATAACACTTCATAACGGAGAGAGGGAATAATACTTCATAACGGAGCGAGAGAATAACACTTCATAACGGAGAGAGAATAACACTTAATAACTGAGAGAGAGAATAACATTTCATAACGGAGAGAGAGAATAACACTTCATAACGGAGAGAAGGAATAACACTTCATAACGGAGAGAGAGAATAACACTTCATAAGGTAGAGCGGGAATAACACTTCATAACGGAGAGAGAGAATAACACTTCATAACGGAGAGAGAGAATAACACTTCATAACGGAGAGAGATGGAATAACACTTCATAATGGTGAGAGGGAATAACACTTCATAATGGAGAGAGAGAATAACACTTCATAACGGAGAGAGAATAAGACTTCATAACGAAGAGAGAAAATAACACTTCATAACGGAGAGAGAGGGAAATAATACATGATAAAAACAAGGGAGTAATGACAGTTGTGGAGAATGACAGTTTGTTCCCCAGCTTGTTATTTTCATTCTTCACTACACACACAGACACACACACACACACACACACACACACACACACACACACACACACACACACACACACACACACACACACACAAACACATACATTCACACACATATACACACACACACACACACACACACACACACACACTGCAGCACACTAAGATCAAGCATAAAGTTGTGTGTTAACAACAGGGTCTGTTTAGAGACAGACAGAATCACTCCCTGTCTTCACAGAGACAACAGCACCACTCCAAAACCCCACAGCTGTAGCATGATACCAAACACTGACAGACTCATGTCCTACAATATTTCACTGTTCACTAGCAGTTGGTTTCATGCTTTTCTAATTTTCCACGCTGCTTAGATCATTTCTCATTCTGTCACTACATTCTAATGAATGCCCTGTGAACAGCAGCTGCAGACGACCATAAATATTTCAGGATCAATGGTCATTGCAGCTGTGAGGACATATAATTCAGCTTCACACATCAGATGGATGGATGGATAGATGGATGAATGAATGGATGGATGGATAACTAACCCTAACGCTAACCTCTAACCCCTTCTCTCTGCCCTTCCTTCTCTCAGAGGTCAAAGATCGCGGTATATGAGAAGATGTGGTCCTATATGAAGTCTGCTGAGCCTTCTGTCTTCGCTAAGACCACAGCGGAGGGTGTGGCTCGCGTCCGCAAGTCCAAAGGAAAGTACGCTTTCCTCCTGGAGTCCACCATGAATGAGTACACGGAACAACGCAAGCCCTGCGACACGATGAAAGTTGGAGGCAACCTGGACTCCAAGGGATATGGTATCGCCACACCTAAAGGCTCACTGCTAAGGTGGGTGGAGTAGTATAACGATGGTAGTCCCCAACTCAACTGTTGTTATGGTATTCCACCTACCCTGGTGTGCCTTTTATATGGATCACTTAATAGTGTATTTGTCTGGTCTATGTCTGCTGCTTTTTCTCTCTCTCGCTCTCTCGCTCTCTCTGTTACTTTCTTTCTCTGCCTCTCTTGCTCTCGCTCCCTCGCTGTCTCCCTCTCCCTCTCTCTCTCTCTCTCTGTCTATGTTGTGTTAAGTTATTTAGTGCCTGTTAGTTCCATTGCTCTGTTGTATTGCTGTCTGTCCGTCTATCCATCCATCCCTCTCTCTCCATCTCTCTTCTTTCACTCACTCTTTCTCTTCACAGGGCCACCGATCAGGTAATCTGTCCACTCGTTTGTCATCTTGATTGTCTCATTCCTTCATTCTCAGACATAGTGTGTAGTGTAGATACTATCTGTTTTTGGACTGAGGCTGATTGTGATTGAAGTTACTAACAGTGATGCCGTGGGGAGGGGCGGAGCACCTTGGCGTTGCCATGACTCCCAGAGTCACCTGGGGGAATTTATAGACACACAGGAAACAGGATGTTGAAGGGCCTGACCAACGGGGGGAACAAAAAGCAGAAAACTATCAAATTATTTCATAACACCCCAAAATACAGATCAAATCAATCAAATCAATCAAAATAAACAAATTCCCACAATCCAATTCATTGATGATGCCCTGAAACACGAAAATCCATATATTTGTAGTATGTGTGTGTGTGTGTGTGTGTTTTGGACCAAGAGGAGTCCCATCTATAGCAGCATGACTACTGACACCATTTTCTATAACTTCCCCCTGTGCACCGTGCAAAGAAGTCCTCCCACTCCCCTGCGCCTTTACCAGGGTTCCTTTACCACTCAGATAAATGAAGGTTTTCTATTTTAGAGGGAAAAGTGACAGCCAGTGGATGATAGTCCCCACCTGGCCCCCTTACTATTCTGGGACTATTGACTGCTGTCTCTGGCTTCTCCTTATCATCAGAAAACCTACGGGAGAGCGCACGTCAGGCGAGAGCCCCTGCTCACGGCAAGCCATTCAAAGCACCGATTTGACATGATGATGATGATTTTGATAAAGATTATTAGTAGTAGTAAGATATGTAGTTAATAATATATGTAGTTAATTCATATGATAATAATTATTTTCCATGTATGGGAGATGTCTACATAGCATCATTCTTTTTCCCCTACCCTTCTTATGATGGTGATTTTTTCCATGGCTTGCAGCCCACCCAGGAGAACTCTCTCTCACTCTCTCTCTAGCCTCTGAGCCAAGGGGTAGCACAGTGTACAATACCACAATCATGACTGTCTGTCTGACTCTCTGTTTGTCTGTCTGTCTGTGTGTCTGTCTGTCTGTCTGTCTGTCTGTCTGACTCTCTCTCTGTCTGTCTGTCTGACTTTCTCTCTGTCTGTCTGTCTGTCTGACTGTCTGTCTGTCTGTCTGTCTGTCTGTCTGTCTGTCTGTCTGTCTGTCTGTCTGTCTGTCTGTCTGTCTTGTCTGTCTGTCTGTCTTCTGTCTGTCTGTCTGTCTGTCTGTCTGTCGTCTGTCTGTCTGTCTGTCTGTCGTCTGTCTGTCTGTCTGTCTGTCTGTTGTCTGTCTGTCTGTCTGTCTGTCTGTCTGTCTGTCTGTCTGTCTGTCTGTCTGTCCATCTGTCTTTCTGTCATACACAACCAGATAGATCAGAACACTGTTACATTCTCCACAGATCTTTTTTATTAGAGAGACAAGCTGTCAACCAACCCAAATTCAAAAATCTGTCGATGTGCTCTTGAGCATGGCTCCTAACCCTATTGTCACATACACCCTATCTGGTGTATGTGACAATAAAACAGGAGAGAGAAGAGAGAGAGGAGAGAGGAGGGAAGAGAGAAGAGAGGGAAGAGAGGAGAGAGAAGAGAGGAGAGAGAGAAGAGAGAGGGGTGAAAAAATTGAGGCGAGAGAAGAGCGAGAGGAGAGAGTGCAGAGAGAGAGAGGAGAGAGGAGGGAGAAGAGAGGGAAGAGAGGGAGAAGAGAGAAGAGGGAGGAGGGAGAAGAGAGGAGAGGGAGGAGGGAGAGGAGAGAGAAAGGAGAGAGAGGTGAAAAAAGAGTGGGAACAGAGGATAGATTGAGGAGAGAGAAAAGAGAGAGAAGAGAGAGTGGAGAGTGGAGATTGAAGGTGTGTTATTTTAGCCCTCTGTGTCCGTGGTCCATTTTTGGAGGTCATTTCCCCTCAGGGTGTGAGATGGAGACCTGCAGGGGAGGAGGACAGGAGCGGCAGTGACCAGAACACCAGCAGCAGGGTATTAGCTCCGTGTCAGTAGGGGACTAAGATAGGCTTTAACACAACATTTAACCAGGGCTCCACCACTCCCCTTTACCCGCCCTGCTGCACATCATTCAGACAATAGCCTTTATCTATGCCTGGTAAAGGTGGACTGAATGAAAGGGGTTTGGGCTATTTGGCTCTCTCTATAGGCTCTATATGTTGATTTAGCTACAGCAAACTGGCATAACCATTCTAAAGGTGGGGTTTCAATATTGCAAAGATATCTTTATAATAAGGGGGGATGTAAAAGCTGGAAGAGAGAGAGAGAAAGAGAGAGGGTTGTCTGGAGGGTTGTGTGAGTCCACTAATCTGATGCCTTCCAGCCAATCACCGGTGTTCCTTTTCCTCATTCCATTGGCTCATCATTGGCTGATACTCCATCCCTCCTCTGACCAACTATGTTTTATCCCTCTGAAGAAATGCGGTCAACCTGGCCGTGTTAAAACTCAACGAGCAGGGCCTGTTGGACAAATTGAAAAATAAATGGTGGTACGACAAGGGAGAGTGTGGCAGCGGGGGAGGGGACTCAAAGGTTAGCCTCTCTGTCTCCGACCGCGGTTCAACCGTGTTCGGGAAGTAATGCGAGCATCTGCCCCGGCCACACAGATCAGTGATGAACATGACCACATCGCCCCGCCCACTTCGACTAACCTCGGTCTGAAACATGGGAGGAAAGAAGGAGAGGAGGGGAGTGATGGAGAGAGATAGGAGAGAAATTACTGTCAAAGCAGGAATATTGGCCCTCTAGTGGATGCTCTGAAGAGAGGAGTGTGGACTAGAAGACTGTCAGAACATAGAGGGAGAGATAGAGAGGAGGATGGTGGGATGAAATAGAGAGATTATGTACTTTATGTTTTGATGTACTTTATTGTTTGCTGCCTTTTAAATTCCTTTTCATATCTCTTACCCAGTGTGAGCAGGCCCTGCCAATAGTCCTGTGTTCACAGTAATTGCCTCTGCTTGTGTAGCACCGGCTGGGGCAGTATGGGCGCGTTACCTGAAGTGATGCAGGGGGGTCCCACTCATATGTCTGTAGCTCGCTTAGCCCTCGCCCCCCAGTCACCCAACGAGCATACACACATGTACTCAGTGGGACCCAGACTGGGTCACTTTTACCAAGCAGTACCATTGATGTGACAGTTCTGACTGTATGTGACCTAATAACATAAAATAACATGGACCTATGATGTTATTTATGTTATTTTTACACGCCAAGAACCCCGGTAAACCTTGCGGTTTTGAAACTGAGTGAAGCAGGAGTCTTAGACAAACTGAAAAACAAATGGTGGTACGATAAGGGCGAGTGTGGACCCAAGGACTCGGGAAGTAAGGTCAGTGTCGCGGGCAGAGTGGGGGACCAAACACCCTCACTGTGTGACAGACAGGAACGCCTCCAGATTAGCCTGGAGACTAGGATTAGCATTAGAATTAGCATCAGTTAAATCTAAATAATCTAATGATAAAATTTGATTGATTTACTGTTGAATACCTTTCTATTTATATCACTGCAGGTTTTCTGCCTATGCCACATCTGCCTTTATAATGTGATTTCAAAATAAAAAAATTATGATACTGCATAAATTCTGGAAAATGTGTTAAGGCCTTAATAATAATGGGCTTAATCTCATACCATTCAGTTTACTATTCTCTGGGTTACTCTGGGTAAAAGAAAAGTCAAAGAGTGGAGAGGTTCTTTGAAACATAATGAGTTTTATGAAACTACAGATAATCTTAGAACATTTAAGACGTCCTTAAACACATCAGATGTCTTTAGAAGAACACTTGAGATATTCTTAGAAGATCAGAGAACTCCTAAGAATGCCAGTGAAGTTTTTAAAATACTAGGGACCTTCACCAAGAGTGTCTGAATAGAATACTTTATCATCACTCATCCAAAAGCCTGACCAATACGATGACTGAACATATTTTAATTGTTACAGTGTACTAGTCATCCTCGACTTAATACTTAATACTTGTAGCAATATTAAAATGTTTCTTTACTTAAATTGTAGTCATGCAGTAGTAGTAGATATGTAGTAAATGTAGTAGTACTGTCATAGTAGTAATAATAGTTGTAGTGTATGCACTAGTAGATTATAAGCTTTAATGATGGTAGTAGTAGAAATGCTTACCCTAGCAGACTAGTCATAGTAGTGGTAGGGGCTGTTGTTGATAGCACAAGTAGACGTTATTGTGCTAAAAAATAAAGAACTAAGACTTAGTCATGATGTTGATGAAACTCTAAAGCTGCCTGTTCTGTGTCTCACTAGCACCACTGTCTCTCTCTCTCTAACCCTGTGCTCTCCGTCCCTCCTCCCAGGACAAGTCCTCCCAGGCCCTGAGCCTGAGCAACGTGGCCGGGGTCTTCTACATCCTGGTGGGGGGTCTGGGCCTGGCCATGCTGGTGGCCCTGGTCGAGTTCTGCTACAAGTCGCGCGCCGAGGCCAAGCGCATGAAGGTGGACCTTAGCCCCCCTCACTGCCCCAGCCCCTCTCCCAGCACCCAGAATTTAGCCACTTATAGAGAGGGGTACAACGTATACGGCTCCGAGGGGGTCAAGATATAGGGGTAGGACTTAGGGTCTCCTATAGGTGGGCTGGTGTGAAGTTTCGTGTGCGTGTAGCCTCTAGCAACAGCAGACCAGTGTTGTGACTGTGGTGAAGCATTGTGGAACCAATGTGCTTATGTTCTTTCCCTTTTTTCTGTTGTGACAGCTTCTTATGTTTCAGTTTTAGTTTGTTTTTCTAATCGTTGATGTATAGCGCTTCACCCCAGAGCATTCTGGGGGCAGGTGGCAGATTGGTTCCATCGTCTTTGGCTGCAGATGATGATGATGATGTTATACACCTGCATTCTGTCTATACTCCGTACACTACACATACAGCACATAAGACATTAGAGCACATCTCCTGTCCTCAAGGCCCGCAGTATCTGCTGGTTTTAACACTGTTCTAACAAGTGACTGATTTAGACCTTGGTAAGCAGGTAAACATTGATTGACCAGTTAGGTACCAGACCAGGGAGAACAGAAAACCAGCAGGACTGCTTCACTGGAGGACTGGCGTTTTACAGACAAGTTAAGTCCCCTGTCAGAGTTATAGAATTCTAGATGCCCAAACATCCCAAATGAGGTAGAGTTAGAGAAGAATCCACTCAAATCAACACTTTATAGAGGATGTCTGCTTTTTGATGTTAACCCTAAAAGTGACAACATATTTTTGGCTTAAAAGCACCAACAGAGATCATTTTTCACCCCAAATTGGTAATGATTGCAAAGAGACACTGTCTGTCTAGCAGATTTTTTTTTATTAACCTTTTGTAACACAATTAAATGGTTTAAATTTCCCAAAATATTTTTTTTTAATATTTTGATACATTTCACCCATAGCCATTTGTTTGAAAGAAATTATGTCATTCATTCAAAGTAGTTGTGTTTCTGTGATACTCAGTGGCTGAGAAATTGCCGATTGAGCTAATCTGTCATACCGGTACGACCTAAGATGGCCACCGATATGGGCGAATTAGGCGATAAGGGCGCCGGTGCCATCAGACTTTTAGTTCCAATTGTATCTGAAAGATGAGACTCTCGATCTGGAATAGAGACATTGACTGGAAGCTAAATATGTATTTAAATTGTTGAGTCATTTTTTTGTTGTAGTGGCTGCCATGCCCACCAGGGGCCAAATCTGGAGTGTCTCCATATCTATATATCTTCAGGGTACATACAGTGCATTCGGAAAGACCCCTTCCCTTTTTCCACATTTTGTTATGTTACAGCCTTATTCTAAAATGGATACAATTTTACTCATCAATCTACACACAATACCCCATAATGACAAAGTGAAAATAGGTTTTTAGAAATTTTTGCAAATGTATATATAATAAAAAACAGATACTTTATTTACATAAGTATTCAGACCATTTGCTATGAGACTCAAAATTGAGCTCAGGTGCATGCTGTTTCCATTGATCATCCTTGAGATGTTTCTATAACTTGAATGGTGTTCACCTGCGGTAAATTAAATTAATTGGACATGATTGGAAAAGGCACACACCTGTATATATAAGGTCCCACAGTTGACAGTGCATGTCCGAGCAAAAACCAAGCCATGAGGTCAAAGGTGTCACGATTTAAACTGAATATGAACCCAAATGCAGACAACTAAACCGAGCCAGAGAAGGTTTAACAGGTTTATTTCAAAGTTAAATTGTCCAGGTTTCCAAAAATAGGGGAAGAGCAAGTCCAGGTCTACAGGGAGGGTAACAGATCCAGGGTTCTGAGCAGGAGTGGTACCGTAACGTCCTAGTGTCCGTGGTGAGTCCAAATGTGAGGTCCAGTAGTGGAAAGCAGGATGGTGGTGGCAGGAGTGAAGCGGAGGCAGGAGTCAGGTTCCAATAATCTGTGGCACAGGAGAAATATAAACAGAACAGGCCAAAAACACAAAGAGCGAAAACAAGCAGGTTGAGTCAGCAGCGAGACTAACATGGTCGTCTTGACTATGATCTGACGATGAGTGGCAAGTTTGACCGGGTCTTTAAGGCTGAGGTGATTATGGTGAATGAGCTGCAGCTGGAACCCTGACTCCCGCACACCAGACTTCACTCCTGCAATCAAGAACAGACAGAGGGGAGGGGGAGAGCAGAGAGAGAGAGCTACCTAGCAGCAGTAGGCCTAACAAAAGGAATTGTCCGAGACAGGATTGTGTCAAAGCACAGATCTGGGGAAGGGTACCAAAACATTTCTGCAGCATTGAAGGTCCCCAAGAACACAGTGGCCTCCATCATTTTTAAATGGAAGAAGTTTGGAACCACCAAGACTCTTCCTAGAGCTGGCTGCCCGGCCAAACGGAACAATCGGGAAAGAAGGGCCTTGGTCAGGGAGGTTAATTGAAATGCATTCCAGGTGACTACGTCATGAAGCTGGTTGAGAGAATGCCAAGAGTGTGCAAAGCTGTCATCAAGGCAAAGGGTGGCTATTTGAAGAATCTCAAATATAAAATATATTTTGATTTGTTTAACACTTTTTTGGTTACTACATGATTCCATATGTGTTATTTCATCGTTTTGATATCTTCACTATTATTCTACAATGTAGAAAATAGTAAAAATAAAGAACAACCCGTGAATGAGTAGGTGTTCTAAAACTTTTGACCGGTAGTGTATGTAAATGTGATATTTTTAAAAATATATTTTTAATACATTTGCTACATTTTCTAAAAACCAGTTTTTGCTTTGTCATTATGGGGTATTGTGTGTAGATTAATTTCCAAAGGAAACATTAGGAACATTGTATATCAATGAGTAGTGTGTTCCTATAAAGTGTTGCCTGAGACAAAACAGGAGTCAGTCAGTCTCTCTCTATAATTCTAAATCTGTGAAACACCCCTCACTTCCCCTTTTCCTCCAAAACCTCACCTTACAAAACCTCATCTTACTGTACAAATCCTCACCTTACAAAACAAATTCTCACCTTACTGTGCAAAACCTCAACTTACTGTGCAAAATCTCACCTTACTGTGCAAATCCTCAACTTACTGTACAAAACCTCACCTCACAAAACAAATCCTCAACTTACTGTACAAAACCTCACCTTCCATGTTTTTAAACCAAGACCCCAGAAATGCATGATCACTTTGAAATGCAGATGTCTAACCCAAATGTATTTGAAACGTATCCTGAGCATCTGTCTGTTTGTTGTTGCCTGCCTTTTTTATAGAATGTTAGTTTAAGTAGTCATATACAGGGAACTGCGAAAATAAAAGAAACACCAACATAAAGTGTCTTAATAGGGCGTTGAGCCACAGCGAGCCGCCAGAAAACCTTAAATGCACCTTGGCGTAGATCCTGCAAGTGTCTGGAAGGGATGCGACACCATTCTTCCACGAGAAATTCCATCATTTGCTGTTTTGTTGATGGTGGTGTAAAACTCTGTCTCAGGCACCACTCCAGAATCTCCCATAAGTGTTAAATTCGGATGAGATCTTTAAACCCCCTATGCTCCTTTGAGACCCCTCTTTCAAAGTCACTGAGATCTCTTCTTCTAGCCATGGTAGCCAAAATAATGGGCAACTGGGAATTTAACTGCTTCATTAACTCAGGAACCACACCTTTGTGGAAGCACCTGCTTTCAATATATACTGAACAAAAATATAAACGCAACATTTAAAGTGTTGGTCCCATGTTTCATAAGCTGAAATAAAAGATCCCAGAAATGTCTCTCAAATGTTATGAACATATTTGTTTACATCCCTGTTAGTGAGCATTTCTCCTTTGCGAAGATGATTTATCCACCTGACAGGTGTAGCATATCAGGAAGCTGATTAAACATCATGATCATTACACAGGTGCACCTTGTGCTGGGGACAATAAAAGGCCACTCTAAAATGTGCAGTTTTGTCACATAACACAATGCCACAGATGTCTCAAGTTTTGTGGGAGCGTGCAAATTGCATGCTGACTGCAGGAATGTCCAACAGAGCTGTTGCCAGATAATTTAATGTTAATTTCTCTACCATGAGCCGTTTTAGAGAATTTGGCAGTACGTCCAACCGGCCTCACAACCACAGACCGTGTAACCACGCCAGCCCAGGACATCCATTTCCTTCTATGAACTGTAACTCAGTAAAATCTTTGAAATTGTTGCATGTTGCGTTTATATTTTTGTTCAGTGTACCTTGTATCCCTCATTTACTCAACTTTTTCCTTTATTTTGGCAGTTACCTGTATGTTTCAATGCTAATGCTTGTGTGTAATGTGTGTGCGTGTACTTCTGTGTTCCTATGTTTGCACAGTGACTGATGTATTTGATTAATTAGGGTCCTATTGTAAAAACTCAAGTGTTTCTTTCTCTTCTCTCCTCTCCTCCCATTGCCCCTCCCTCTCTAATCACCCCATCCCCCTCCCCTGGCTCTTACATCCCCTCCAGCTCCCCTTCACAGAAGCCATGCGGAACAAGGCTCGGCTGTCAATCACGGGCAGTGTGGGTGAGAATGGGCGTGTCTTAACCCCAGACTGCCCTAAGGCCGTCCATGCTGGCCACTCCCTCAGACACCCAGGGCTTTCTCTACCCTCGGGCCTACCCTGAAAACCAAAAACATACACTGTGCCTTAACCACACACACACACACACAAGGCTACATCATTACCACCCCGACGCCACACACACACACACACACACACACACACACACAGAGATCGCCAGCAAGCTAACAGCAACTACAGGGAGAGAGGAGGGACACATATGACGATCACCATCACACTAAAATCCTACCTTGAGTGTAAACTTTGGGAGATCCATGGAACAAGGACAACAAGGTGACAAACTGACAGTGTTAGCACACTGACTACACATGAACCCAAAAGATTAACTGAGAAAAAAAAAAGATGCGATGTTGAAGACGAAGACTTTGGGCAGCGTCATGAGCAGGCAGACGTGACTTTATCTGCTCCGACGTGATAGACTGCATCCTCTAACAAGCCACACCCTTGACCCCATACCAGGAAACGATGCTTTAGGACAAACACCACCATCATAATCTTCATCATCATCATCTTCACTTACCTATG